ATTAGTCTGGCAGCCCATATAATCTGGTCCTTTGGAAAGTATAATTATTGAATTATTCTAGAGTGTTGTTACTGAAAGTGCATATGACATGGCCTATTCATTTCATTAAAACATAGATTTAAGGTCATTAGATTTAAGATTTAACCAAAAATGTTGCCTTGTCTTTTCGAGTTTTGTCATTTTGGTGAAGATTATGACACATGTAGAGGTATGTTACCTGGCAACCATAATGTTAAGGGCCAAAACTAGTCTAGAGTAAAGTGCTGTCTCATTTTAGACAAATGAAATACAACGCAGAAAAACATTATTTGGGCACTCAAAGCACTTTTGTGGTTTGTGATTATCAGAATGAACACAACAGGGTTTTTGGTTTGTGGTTGCACTCTTCACTGGCATCTGCTCTCCCCTCACAGGGGAGTTGAACCCAGATTTAGCTAAGGGTCTAGGTCCATATTGGTCTTCATCTATTTAAACCGGGGACACTTTCGGAGGCGTCAGACTGTCTGTTTGCCCACTCAGTCTATAATAACTTGGTTTTAAAATATCTGCTCAGTAACAGTACAGCATTCACATTACATACATAAAAAACTAAAAGAAATTACAATTTAATTAATTTATTTTTTACAATTCTCAACCTAAATTCAACTGCAGGAAATTGGCAGCTAAATCTAATGTTAAATGCTTTGCTAAAATGTGAGATTAAATATATTATGCTTCTGTCTGTTCTGTAGTGAGTCACAGAAACAAGGATTTTATCCAACATGTTTGAGTAAGCCCCTGCTCTTCTGGGAAAAAAAAAGAAAAAAGTTTTACCCATAGATTTTGTGAAAAAATAATAATAATAAATAATAATAATAATAATAAAATAAATTTGAAAGCTCAGGGTTAATCAGCTAAGTGGTAACTAATGACCACAAGATCTACAATTTTATTTTAAATCTATTTCTGAATCTTTATAAACCACTAAATTATTAAACAGTTTCACTGATTCTTGTGTTTTAAACATGCTTTTTAGACTTAAACAACTGAGTTATGGATATTAGTGAGCAGTTAAGTCTTTCAAGCCTTGTTATCAGAATTGTTCCATAAGTCTGTGTGAAAAATGCTCTCTATAATTAAGCCGTTTTAGAGCTATATTGAATGAACCCATTTTAAATACAGATCTGCATGTTATAAATACTAACCAATAATGAGGGAAATCCATTATAGCTGTGTAAAAAGCTGATTTTTGCTCATCTCCTCCTATGCCTAACCCACTGACAGACACAGCTGGAAACATTACAGTGTTCCCTGAAGAGTCAATGACTGACAGACAGTAAATCTGAAGAGTTTTGGCTCAATCTCTTTTCACACTAGCCACACATTTCTCTTCACGACTGGGTTAAATATGCACCACATGGTTACAACACACTAAAATATGCAACCTTTGTGTAAGAGACAGAGCAACTAAAGCTTCTCATTGGTTAAAATGGATTTGGCAACAAGAGCACGTCAAAGCCACACTGACTCTGTGTGGATTTTAGATTTACAGTTGAAAACAGAAATTCTATATCCTCAGCCTCATTATCTTAGAAAGACATTTGCAACGATGACTGTGGACAAATGATAACAGGCTCTTGTGTACTCTTGGTATCTTTTAGAACTTGAAATAAAAGCCATGTAGCACTCGATAAAGTAATAATAGCCAATAATGTAAGAATTACGGTGAGCCAATAACAGCTTGACAATAATTTAATAAGTCAGTGGCTCTCAAACATTTCACACCAAGAACCACCAAAGAAAAGATTTAGCTTCCCGAGTGCAACCAGGTCTAAATCAGGTCTATAACAGGACTACTCCAGGTCTGATTTAAGGTTAAACCAGGTCTAACATTGGACTACATCATTTCCACTGTAGTTCTAAACATTATCCAAAGGATAAAAACGTGGATAAAATGAACTCTAAATTAAGCAAACCTACAAACATCCGTCCAAGTACCACTTACTTGGCCGGTTATTATGTGTTTGGTCTAACAAGGAAACTCTCCTCTAAAGTCCAGTTTATGGTTATGAATAAAATCGATGCAGAGTCACAACGCAGAGTCTACCCCACTGTGAACCCCCTCTTCAGAGCACCTGTGTCGACCAACGTGCTCCTCCGAAATTTTCTAACTACGCGTCAAAACGGCGCAGACAGCAGGGGGAAGTGACACAGACAATAAGGGCTGTGATTGGTCTACATTCGCTCAACATACATTTCTGATATTCCGCTATCCCGCTTCATTTTGTAAACATGAACACAATCCTAGTCGCCTAGCATTGTGGCGGTGAATTACTTTGCGGTGCATAGACTTCGACGCAGATCTATAAATCAAAAACAAGAGCGACAAGGTGATGGCAGCAGTGTGTGTTGAGTTGATGCAGAACTATAATTCACCCTTAATAATGTAATAACTGCAGCCAGTAATGTAGTAATTATTGGTAAGATATTACAAAATACATTATTGGCTGTTATTACAGTTTGGGCTTATTACATTTAACATTATTATTAGCCGTTATTACGTTATCAGTTTCAACAATCCACCTACAGACAACTGTCAAAATGGCTGTCATTTATGAAACTTCCGTATTGCAAAGTCTACGTGTACATTTGGTGTATGACCAAAACAAGGTATCTAATCATCAAGGCAGGGCAGGATGTACCGTACTATATGCAGAGGAAAAAACTTCACTGCATGAACATAAGTTCAACCAATAATGCAGTTTATTCTTATGTTTAAAACTCATCCCAAGTCATCAATAATAATAATCATGTGACTCAAAGGAGTAGACAGAAACCAGCTCTGCAGTTTTGAACAAGGGCTGTGCAAAAAAAGAAAGATTGATAGATCGTGATCACTACTTTGGTTGATATGGATGGCAAGGCATGCACATTTTAATTGACAAGTCAACAGCCAATCATGTGGCAATAAGAGCTCTTAGTACTGACGAGAATTCACGCTCTATTGTTTAGGAAAAACGCGCGTGTTTCTGCTTATTCATTTAGGTTTAATATACTGTACAAAAAATAAATCAATCATTCAAAATTTTAAATATGAATTTCTCCGGAATTATTGGTCCCATCAACACAAAATTAAACTGTAGTGATGCTGACACCCTGCTCTTTACGCCTGAGGTCCACATGTCTATGTTTTTAATAAGATGAAAGAAGTTTGAATCGAAAATCAGTATTGATAAATATCGCCCAGCCCTATTTTGAATTGACCTGTTTATATTACCAAGTCAGTTTAGATCAATAAAAAGCATGATTTGTCTTCTTTAATCATCAGCCTAACTAGCAGCCTCACTGTAATCCAATTTAAGAGACGTCTAATGAGCAGAATCCTGAGCCTAACCTTGAGCCTCCCTCTCTTCAGACTGGATATGTGTCCAGATGTATCACTGCTTTGTGATAGAGCTACTGCTTAACTGCAGCTGTGATTCATCACTCAGTGCAGTCTTCAGTTCTGTGAACCCATCCCAGTCCCAATAGAACACAACAGGCACATGAGTGGAAGCTATGATGTCATACTTAAGATGACATTAGAGTTATTAAAGTTGTTTGTAAGAAACTGTATCTGCATATTTAAATAATAAGGCTGTGATACAAGCGTGGGTACTTGGAGTTAGGGTTAGGCTATGGTTTATTATTTATTTAATTGTGAAATAAACCCATATAAGAATTTTACCAAAAAATGATGATCAGCATCAGTTTAATAACAACGTTTGTTCATTTACATAAAATGTGTCCAGAAACAAAGCTCATTTTATAGTCATGCCAAAGAATTGGGTGGTTCAACTCTTGAGTTGGCAGTGTGCAGAGGACACTAGACGATTTCCCACACTATTGCACTTGGCTCTGTTCCTCCACAGCTGTATTCATTTTAATGGACATCTGTTCCATAAAAGTCTCACAACACTGAATCCATTTAGAACAACCGACTCTCTTCTGTTCTACACACCACTACTTCCTGTATAGGCCAGTTAAGGTCAAGGTAGTTCCTATTAAACTTGAAGAAACAAGTGATTGGGACACATTCTTAAAATACAGTGAACTGTACATTGTTTCATTAAGGTGAGACATTACAGGATATTAGGTCACTTTGCTCTCTCAATATAAGCCTTCACATTGAAATATTTCATTTAATCAGTTGGCAATTTCTGCTATTTTTATGAAGCACTGTAACGCAAGACTTTTTAAAGAAGCACCTACATACACTTACATTACATACACTTACAAGTCTCATACCTGACACGTTTTGATGGATGTTGTAGAATTTGTTGATGGCCATTAATTAATTTGATGTGTTAACAGTGAGCTTCCAATGTTTTCACATTTTTCTCTACAATCTAAACTGATCCAATAAAATAATATTTTTATATGAAAATGGGATGAAGAAAAAAAAAAAGAAAAACATTTGATTGAGCATTTGAAACATTTGCATCTTTTCAATCTTTTATCTCTGTGTCAACACAAACAAAAGGCTGAATAAACTAGTGATTGAATATTGCATTATTAGGGATGGGACAAGATCTCACGCCACAAGATCTCACGAGACAAAATTGCCACAAGATTGTGCACACATGACAAAAATGATCTTGAATGAGAATATCTTCCCCTGAAACATTTAGCTTGGACAAAAAAAGGGTTAAGAGATGATGAGTTATACAAATTGAGTATTACAGTCCTACAAAGGCCGCTAAAGTATTACATAAAATAAATAAAAATAGTAAAGTCAGAATTGTAAAATGGATTGCAATATTTATTTATTATAAATTATGTCAAAATCTCGTCTTGTCTTGCTCTCGTGGACCCAATCTCGTGGTGTGTCTCATCTCGTGAAAACTGTGACTCATCCCAACCCTATGTGTTATTGATGCTACACAATGGAATGACTTGCTCTTTCATTCAGAGATGCATTTGCATGTCTGAATAAGTTGATGTCATACATATTTCTCACATTCACTCTTTCTCAAAAATACCTGCAGTACAGGGCTGTGGTCAAAGTTGTAGGCGCTGGGGCGGCCCTCGAGCGTGGAGAAGGCCACGTTTCCTCCGGTCAGGGGAGAGATGTCACTGAACTCATCTGTGCACAGGGCCTGTTGCTCGTCCTCGCCCGTGCGGATGAAACCTCGGTTGAGTTTCTGGTAGGTTTTTTCACATGAACCACTGTAAAACTGGTAGGGCACCCAAGGGCCTGACTCACTGCTCCGCTTGTAGATGGCAAAACTCTCCGGACGTGATGTATGGAACTTCAGACGCACATATGTTATGTCAAATGCCTTACCTGAAAAAAAAAAGAGAAAGAAACAAGCACACATACACATTAATCCTCTTAATAAAAAAAAAAAAAAGATTGGTTTATATAGTGCCTTTCACAATGCATCATTGACTCACTCATTACTACTGTAGCTATAGCTGCCCTTGGGACAGACTGGCAGAAGCAAAGCTGCACACACCATATTCGTCATAGGCAACGTGTGTTAAACGTCTTGCCTAAATGCAGTTTTCACTAGAGCCACTGCCGCCCCACTGTGGCACCTGGTATTTCTGCAGTCATCCAAGCACTAGCCTAGCCCAGTCCCCAGATCTGAGATCTGACCAAATCAGACTTTGAACAGCGTTTCGTGATATGGTATTTTCAGCACCAATATCTAGTTTTTGGAGTTTGCTGCAATGTTTGTCACAATAATCAAAATCATGCCTGAAGAGGTTTTATAGGTCATCAAAACCAAAACAACCAAAAAACCAACAAACCAAAACAAACATGGTGGTGTCAACAGATGCACTTCAACCTATTTTAACTTCAAGACGGATTATTTTGTTTGTGAAAAACAAGCAGATGGTATGAAAAATTGAAGGTTAAGTCTTTATTCTTGTAGAGTCCATATGTGGAGTGTGGAAATGTTACAGCTGGGATGGCTCGACACAACTGACCTTGAGAGTGAAGTCTAGTAAGAGACAGACTAAACAAGGCCAGGCTTGTTTTCTCAGTTTGTGACCACATGCAAGCATTTCAGACATACAGCACATGTACATCTCTCTCAACGCTGAGTCTCGACTCTCAAAGGTCTTGGGACCCTGTGGTCTCAGACAAGTATTTCTTGTTGGTCTTGATTAATGCCTTCTCAACCTCAACACTGTTAAAATACGCAAACTATAACATAATGATCCATAGATGATCCACCTCTGCCCGTTTTTGATGACTGCTTCTCCGAACTTCATCGGAATACACAGTCATGTGTCAGCACCTGCTAATTTCGCAAGAAATGGTCTGTAAACAACCTGCTGGGTACAGTGGGGGCATCACAAACACATAGTCCCAGCAGATTGGCTGGGACATAAGCTGGATTTGAATGGGCTAAATGGGTAATCACACCGAAACAAAGTGCAGCTTATCACACAGGAAATCAAGTGCAAACACAGGTGAGGAGGGACTGGGGGAGGCTAATACAAACAGTACACACAGTACACACAGCCATAATGAAAACAAAGACTTGTGCTTTTTATGTTTCAGGTGAGACACAACAGAGGTTATTTTCCTTTTTCAACCTCCACTTTTGTGCCGGGGTTGGTCAGAACTACTTAAAGGCATTGTACTAGATGTTTACTCTGTGAAAAACAGTTCACAAAGTTCATATTGGTTCATTTCAAAGAGGAGGTATTACACTTCTATGGGGTATCACCATGTTTCACCATCAACATCACCCTTTATTGTTTGAAAATGCTTTATTTCAAAACCCCTTTTTTCACTCCCCTATCCTGTGTCTATTTTTCTAATAAAACTACTGCACATTGCATCAGGTTTGTCAAGCTGTAGTGTATTGTTTTGCTTTTGCACATATATGGAAAATTGCTGCACAAGAGCATGGGTGATGCAAGATTGTGAGCAGAGCCTTGTACTGGCTTATATTGCTAACAGAAAGAAAGAGTTTGCATACTGCCTGAAGAGACTGCTAAATTACTAGAATGCATGAATGACATAAAAACATCTTCAGTTATGTTTTTGATGATGGAACAACATTATAACATGGTACAAAGCTGCAAAAAGTTGATTATGCAGTTAATAATACATCTTCTTTAAACAGTTTGCAGTGATCCAAAGTTATTCCTTATAACCTTTGTAGTCACACCAACAACTAGCATGTTAAGTGTGCACTTCCTAATTATCAAACAATAAAGTCTTTAAAATTAAGTGTACACAAGTGGACTTAAACAAAATATCTATACTGGCAAGACACGTTTTGCTCAAATACATGGGAAATATTCGTACAGGGACTTTAGCTGGATTTTGCTTCTTTTCTTATTTACCTGCATTTTCCCGCTATAGAAAGATAAACAAAGAGGAGAGGACAAGGAGAGTAAAGGGGAGAAAACCAGGACTGAGGAGTGAGTTCCCTGTGAGCTGGTGTGTACTTTGTGTTGAGCGGATACTGGGAGGATATGCATTTTCCAGGGGAAGGGGAGAGGGGAATGTGACTCGTGTTTGTTTTAGGTCATGTCCAGGCATGCTCCGAGACAAAAGACTGATAACTAGAACTGAAATGAAAGAGGGACTCTACTCAACAGGCTATGGTTATACGGCAACCACACGGTGTAAAACAAGCCAACATAGTCATTTGAGTTTTTTATATTTCAATATAATACTATATTACTCAGTTGGTAGTTACTAAGCTCATTACAGAACAGCAGTGAAATCCTTCTATATTGTTGTCCACATTATCTACAAAATATCAGAATCCCTGTAGTAACTGACAAGCATTATTAAATCTAAATCTCCAAATAAAAATGGTTTATGTAAATTAATAGCCAGACAAAAACATTCACATTTATGTTTACTTTTTGAAACATAGATTGAATCAAAATTATAGTTTTTGATTGGTTTGATTGGTCATGACTCTTATAGGTAATTTATAATCCACAGAGTTACATCTGACTATATATATATGATTGATTCAGCTATAAAGCATCACTTAATTTCCTTCAGCTGGAATGCAAGATTAGACAGGAACAGGAAGCAGCTGGTTGGACTCTAAAACAGGAGGCATCCGTGAAGACAGCTGCTGATCAGCCTCAGCTGTTCTGTACCTGATGCCATGTCTGACTCAACTCTGTCTGCCCTGGAGACTGGCACACAGATATGTAGGGGATGGGCCGTGTGAGCAGCTTGAGGGCAAAGACAGTAATCACAAAATGAAATCTAAATGGGAACCCCCCCCCCCCCTTCCCCCTCCCCTCCCTCAGGCAGAGCCACAGCCATGCAGGGGTTAACATTATGGGACTGGCCTCAGGGCAAGACGGCTCCATGACCTCATCACATTCTTGAGCTGATGAACAAGAGAGGCTTTGATTTGTCCATGCGGCGCAGGCCCTGATTTACCACGACTATGGGACTGTAGGCCTTGATGTACCAGGACTATGGACCCTGATGCATCAGGAGTATAGGACTACAGGACTATGAGACTGTGAGCCCTGATGTACCAGAATTATAGGACTATGGGACTGTGGTCCTGACTGTGGAAATCACCGCACCAGAACAGAACGATCAGCCTTATTAACAAAAAAGGGTCTCAGTATTCCTGAAGATAAAGAAGACAGACAAAAGTCATAAAACTCATAATTACCAGGTATATAGAGCTCCTGCACTCACATGACAAAATCTGACAGCAATGCCATGTTGGCCATGGTGAATTAGCAGTAATGAATAGCACAGGTCTGTTTTTGGAGTTTTTCTATCACTCATAGACAATGATTTATTTTAAAACTAATCAGATTAAACATTACAGTAAACGTGACCCTTACGTGGCTGGCACTGGTGTTAGTTCAAAGAGATCACATACATTTTGTGTTAACTCTGTAGGAGCTGGATGTTTGGTTTATTTTTCACCTTCTTATATCATCAGTGGTCCCTGGAAATGTTTGGAAATGTCTGATGAATAGACTTTATTATAAAGCCATGTAAATAATAATAATGAATTGGTTTTCTATAGCACTTTTTTGGACACTCAATGAGACTTTACAGAGCATGACTTTCACTCCACACTCAGACAGACTGAAGCACAGCTGCCAATCTGCACCATCCACCCCTCTGACCACCACCATCTCTCACGCAGACTTCACTTTCATACTAGGCAATATGGGTACGTGTCTTGCCTAAGGACACGCTGACAGTTTTTATTTGCTACTGGTACTCATTTCCCCAGCAGTCTCCCACCCAGGTATTAACCAGGCCCAGCCTCGCTTAGCTGTTAAGATCTGATAGGATCAGACTTTGATAAGCCGGGATGGCCACGGCAGAAGTGGATTTATGTGGCTCACAGCTAATCAAGCTTTACATCAATTAAGGTATTAATAAAAATATTCAAGAATTTACATTATTTGGTTTTATTTGAATGATTCAACCACTGAAATATAGCATTGTTTAGTGATATTGACAGTTTAAATTAGGTGAAATTTTTCAATTTTAGTTTGTGATTTATTTTCTACAATTCACATTTTTAAGCAGTCAGTTAATGTTAAACACATTAACAGTGTTTAGCAAAAACATTAGAGATCATTTCTCTCTGCCTCATTAATAGATTATTTAATGCTAATCGACAATACACAAACTTACAATTTTTCAATCATTATGAGACAATGTTAACAATGGTCATTTAAATAAAAGCAAATAATAAAAAATATTGATGCAAAAATATACATTAATAGCTTAATTAATGTATAGCTTGATCAGCTCCCAAATAAATAAAATCCACTTTTACCGTCAATCTACGGTGTACATTCCAGTGCAACAATAATCCACAATCTCTGAAACTCCATAAAGTTTGTTCATTTGGTCGACACCATTAGTTTCTATGGGAACTTTCAACCGCTCCACTGCCAGTGTGGGGTTTGGAGGTGCATGCTGGGATTGTGTGACAAACCACTGCAGGAGCTCTATTAGTGCCCTGTGTATCAACTGTCTCCTCTGAAGTCCACACGGAGGAGGGGCCACATGTGGTATAGATGGACGCCTCATTCTCATACCATGACACTGCACATGACCCAGAAACATGGAGGACACACCTATTTACCCGAGCACACACTTCCTGCTCTGAAGCCACTGGCCGCTAGACACCAAATGACCTGGATTTACAGAATAAAATCCAGTGGCAAAAAATACCATTCTAGTTCTCAACAAAAAAAAAAAAAAATGATATGTATATCAGTCGATCTCTAGTGTGGGCAAAATATGTATTGGTATTATTATGAGGTATGTGTATGAATAATTACTGCCACAAAGGTTCATTT